GCTCCAGGAACCCCACTCTGGGGCCTGATGGCGGCTGGGGAGGGCCTGCTGGGGGCAGGGAGGGTTCTGAGCTTGGCATTTGAGAGCAGGGGCAGTTGCTCACTTGCCACCACGTCTGAACCCACCACGGGCTTCACCCCATGGCCATGCCAACATCTAGTCCCCTCTAGGAATGCCAGCACCCCTGGATGTCCCTGGAGGTGGTCAAGTGACCTGGAGGTCCCAGGGGTGGGCAGGGGTGCCAGAAATGACCAGAGGAACCACTTCGGGATGGCAAAGGCGGTCTGTGTGCCAGGGCCTGCTCACCCTCCTGTCAGCTCAGACATCTCCACTCTCTGGGCACAAGGAGCTTGGGCTCTGCCCACTGCTGGCTGAGACCTTGGGCTTCACATCATCACCCCTCCCTCTCTCTGTGTAATGAGGAAAAAGGGTCAAGATTCCACTTCCATGCCCAGCCCTTGGGTGCTGTGTGCTGGGCACATTCTCACACATACTTCTTCATCTGGTCCTCAAAATAGCCCCGGGGTGACAGATCTACTGACCCTCGTGTTTCTTCTAAATCTCAGACTTGGGCATGAAAGGCCTGGGTTTGTGCTCAGCCCAGGCCCATTCCCTGCTGTGTGAACTTGGACAAGTCACTGTCCCTCTCTGATTCTCAGTGCCCACTCAGATGCAGTGGGAAGGATAATACTTACCCCTTGGGCTGCCATGAAAACTTGCTGGGTACAACTCCTCTGCACAGCACAGGTACTCCAACAGGGGCAGTGTCCTTCCTTCCCTCCCTGGGCCCCAGGTTCCCATCTGCACAGTGGGGATCACTTCTGTCCTGCTTATAAACAAGACAGCGGGCGATGGACCCACTAGGAAGAAGGCCCGTGTAAAAGTGCCTGTGGGCAGGGAGCTAACGGGAGCTGAGACACAGGTCAAATACCAACTGCAGGAAGCCGGGAGGGAGGGCCAGCAGGAGTGCAGGTCCCTGGTCAGGTCAGGCGACCCTCCAGAGAGCTAGGGGCTTCCAGGTACCAGCTCACTGAATTTGACCCTGGGAGAAGGGCATGGCGGGTGGGCTGGGACTCCAGCATAGGACCCCTGAGCCTGGGCTGGCGCCCTGTGCACCGCTCCACACTGATTTCATTCACCTCATTCACACAGGCAAGGTCGGCGTATGGCCCCCACTTTACAAGAAACCGAGGCTCAGGCTAAATAATTTGCCCATCGTTCCAGAGAAGGATTAAATGGAGGAGAGGACATCTAGCTGCAAGGGGTTCCCTTCCCAGTAGGAATTTTCCAGTAGCCCCAGGCTATTCTGACTCTAGTGCCAACAGGAGAGAGACTCACACCAACCGATCAGGTGGCTGGTCCCTCTGAGCACCTACTGCCCCTTGCCCTCTGCTTGTGCTGAGGGAGACACACCCTTGCTCCCACATCTTCTATGACTCCCTATTTCCTCCCACGCAAAGGTCAGATTCTTCGGGCTGAACTTCCAGGCCCTGTGGCCGTGTTAACTGGCCTTCCCCCATGAGTCCACCACTTCCAGCCCCGTAGCACTGTAGACCCAAACTTGACGCCATCTGGCCTTTGCTTGGACTGTTCCCTCTGGATGCCCTTCACCCCATTCCCTTTCACCCCTCAAAGCCTGGCTCAAATTCCTCCTGTTCCCTGGAGCCTGAGGCAGCCCCACTCTCCCCCTCCCAGCCTCCAAGGACGGCTGTGAGTGCACCCAGCTTCCCCACCTGGATGGGGCAGTCATTTTAGGACAGGGGCCTTGTTGTACCCATGTGTCTATCCCCAGGTCTTAGCCAAAGCCAGGAACAGTAGTGCTGGTGGGACAAAGGGAGCTGGACTGACCCGCTGTCCCCTCTGAAGGCTGCAGCCCAGGTGCACGGGCTCCTGGCCTGTGGGGAGCAAGAGCACTGGCTTTGGAGTAACCAGCCCGGTTTTGAGACTAGGCTTCCCCACTGGGAAGTTCTGTGACTCTGACCAAGAGACTTTAGCTTCTTGCCCTCAAATTCCTTACCCATAAAATGGAGATAATAATGTCCACTTAGGAGACCCGTGTGAGGCCTGGATATGATCCCGCGTATTGAGCGCGCAGTCTGGCACCTGCAGAGCCCTCGGTGAACGGTGGTTATCACTGTGCTCATCGTTTGCCAAGATGAGGGGCCTGCACACAGCACGGACATCGGGAGCCAGCACAGGCTTGAGGTTGGCATCCAAGTACTGTGTCATCAGCACTTCCCCAATGCAGGTCAGTGTCACCAGGGGAATCAGACTCTTCCAGGAAGCTCTAGAATCCAGCGTCCTAGAACCCTCCTAAGAGAAGTCTGGATGGTCTGAGTTTGGAATAAGAAAGTCTGTTGATTCTAAAGCACAA